CAAGTAAATTATGTCCACAGCATTCCTCTGATCCACTAATTTTGTCACTTGGTCAAAGAATGCAATAAGATTTGTCTGGCATGATCTATTTTTGACAAACCCATGTTGGCTTTTAGTAATGACTTTGTTTGCCTCTAGGTGTTCGTTGATTCGTTATTTGATTATCTTTTCCAGGATCTTCCCAGTATTGAGGTCAGGCTGATAGGTCTGTAATTTCCTGGATCCAATTTTTTTTCCTTTTTTGAGGATGGGAACTACATCAGCTCTTTTCCAGTCCTCTGGTAGTTCCTCTGTGTTCCAGGATCTTTGAAAAATATAGTTCAGTGGCTCCGATATTACATCTGCCAGTTCCTTGAGAACTCTGGGGTGTAATCCATCTGGTCCTGGCGATTTGAACTCATCTAGGCTGGACAGGTGCTCCTAACCATTTTCTTGCCTATCTTAACTTGTGTTTCTGTTTTGTTTTTTATGGCACTATTTTTGATAGGTTGGTCTGTTTTTTCCCTTTGTGTAAAGACAGATGCAAAAAATGAGTTAAATAGTTCTGCTTTCTCCCTGTTGCTTGTCACCTTCTTGCCACTTCCACCCACTAATGGACCAATCATTTCCTTCACTTTTTTCTTGTTTTTTACATGTTGAAAGAAGCCTTTTTTGTTATTTTTGACTTTGGTTGCAAGCCTTAGTTCTTTTTGAGCCTTAGCTTTCCTCACTTCGTCTTTGCAGGCTCGGGCTATTTGCTGATATTCTGACTTAGTTATATTCTCCTCTTTCCACTTTCTATACTTGTCCTTTTTATCTTTCAATTTGTCAGAGAGTTCTTTATGCAGCCATGCTGGTTTCTTTTGAGAGCTGTTATGTTTTCTCTTTGTTGGTATTGTGCTAGACTGGGCTTTTATTATCTCATTTTTCAAAATTTCCCAATCTTCTTGAGTTGTTTTCCCCTTGAGGATTCTCATCCATGGAATCCTTCCCAAGCCCTCTCTAAGTTTATTGAAATTAGCTCTCTTGAAGTCCAAGACTCTAGTTTGACTGTGTTCTATTGGTTGTGCTTCTATAATGTTGAATTCTAATATTGCATGATCACTTCCTCCCAGGGTTCCTATGGCTTCAACACCGTCTATCATTTCATCTCTGTTAGTGAGAATTAGATCCAAAATGGCTAATCCCCTAGTTCCCTTCTCTACTTTTTGGGAGACAAAGTTGTCTGCTAGGTTTGCCAGGAACCTGTTTGATCTTCCACTTGGTGCGGAGTTTGTCTCCCAGTTGATGTCAGGGTAGTTAAAGTCCCCCATTACTATTGTGATGTGCTTCCTACATACCTTAGTTAGCTGACTAGCAAAAAGTTCATCTATTTCCTCTGTTTGGTTGGGTGGTCTGTAGTATACACCTATGGCAATGTCATTTCCCCCCCCTTTTATATTGACCCAAATGCATTCAAGACAGTTTTTATCATTGTTGTACTCTATTTCTGTGGAGATGTAGTTATTTCTTATATAGAGAGCAACTCCACCTCCTCTTTTATTTGGTCTGTTTCTTTTAAATAATTTAAATCCCTCTAGCTGTGTGTTCCATGTGTGAGTTTCATCCCACCATGTTTCCGTAATGGCAACAATATCGTATCTGCCCTCATTAACCTGAATTTCTAGTTCACCCTGTTTGCTGTTCATACTTTGTGCATTGGTGTATAAACATTTGAGTCCTTTGTGGGTGGCCCTGTGTTTCCTTTCTACATAACCTGTGTGGTGCCTGAGTTCCCCTATTGTCTTACCACCTATTTGGTTAGTGCACTTTATGTGGCACTCGCTATTAGAGGCTTCATTTTGCTTGATAGCAAGGTTGGTATTCTTGTCCACACACACATCTATGCTACATGCACTGATAGCCCTATAGTTTTTAAATTGCCGGGGACAGGGTTGTTCCGTATCAATTAACTCCCTGTCCCCGCTGTTTAGTTTAAATTTCCCTCCAGAAAATCTGTGAATTTATAGCCGAGTAACTCAGTCCCTTTTTTTGATGGATGCAAACCATCTCTTTTGTACATCTTTTGATTGGACTTGATTGATTTGGTTTATCTATTAGTTGATTAGATTCTTGTGTATAAGCTTTGGTAATATTTCTGAATTACAACCTAACCTATGGTTCTGATCCATTGTCCCTGACAGATGCCCTGTTAAAAGCAACAAGCAATGAAATGAAATACTTTATTTATTTATTAAATTTATATGCTGCTTATCTCACAGTAGAATTGGAAAGGCTTTTAGGGGCATGTTCCTTCTTATGTAGGATGCCATAGGCATCAGTGTTCTCTCCTTTTCTTTTTAAGATCTACATCTTAAAAGGTTTCAGCTGAATCCTTGCGAGAATGGCTAACTCTGAATTTTGGGGCCCACTGATTCCAGGTCTATGGTTTGGTGCTAGAATGATGGTGTTGCATTGCCCCAGACTGACCCAATGCACAATTTGCAGGTCTCCTAGATTCACAACTCCTGCTCAATGAGCAAGTGAAGTCATGATTAGGAGTTCTTTTGCACAACTTCATCTTACGCAGTAGTTGCACCCTTTCCTGAACCAGCAGGCTCTATTTCCAAAGCGCCTGAAGGCAGCAGAAGAAGCAAAGGATGGAAACTAACAAAAGAGAGAAACAACCTAGAACTAAGGAGAAACTTCCTAACAGTTAGAACAATTAACCAGTGGAACAACCTGCCTCCAGAAGCGGTGAATGCTCCAACACTGGAAGTTTTTAAGAAGAAACTGGACAGCCAATTGTCCGAAATGGTATAGGGTTACCTGTCTAAGCAGGGGGTTGGACTTGATGACCTCCAAGGTCTCTTCCAACTTTATTATTATTGTTGTTGTTGTTATTTATGACATGCCTAATGACCGCCAAACTGGATTTCTGCAACAGGCCCTATAGGGATGTTCTTGAAAAGATTCAGCTGATACAGAATGCAGCAACATGGGCAGTTATGCACAATCCTAGAACAGTGCAGGTTGCACCTCTGGTCCCTGAGCAACATTAGTTACTGTTTTTAAAGTGACCAACTTTTTTACAATGAGAAGGACACAAATAAATTGAAGAAAAAATATCGTAAATAAAACATTTTATTCATTGCAACAATACAGAATACACTATAATATGATAAATGCATAATAAAAAACATTTGTAACAATAACATTTTATATTGTAATTATGCTTACATGCCTATTAATTATTATTTAAATGAGTACAAAAGAAGGACTGTCTTCCCTAAAGGAGGACGATTGGTCACCTTACTATTTTGCTTCTGGTTCCAACCCAGACTGCTGATTTTAACCTGTGTAAGCCCTTCATGCCATAGGACTGTGTTACGGAACCAAGGAGATCTGAGGAACCAACTCTCCTTGGCTGTTGTAGCCTGCTACATTAGATCTGGCAGAGAAGTCATGCTGCAGGTACCACCAGCTAGGAGTCTACATTTGATGGGACCTAAGAGAAATGCTTTTGATATTGTAGCACCTGCCTTATGGAACTTTCTTGCCCCCAGTGAGATTAAATCAGCTCCACATATTTTGACATTCCAGAAGTCTCTTAAGACAAGTTTGTGTTATTTGGCTTGGGGCTCTGGAGATATGCCTAGATTGCACTATTACTTAGGTGGGCATTTTTATCCTCTTTGCCTAGGGTTTTTGTATATGTTTTTATACAATATTCAGGGCTTTTTTTTTGTCATAGAATGCCCAGAACGGAGTTCCGGCACCTTTTTTGGATGGAACCTTGTAGGGTAAGCAAGGCGGGTTGTATGACCTGTGGGAGTTCCGGCACCTTTATTTTTTAAACAAAAAAAGCACTGACAATATTTATCTTTTAATATAGATTTTACATACCGTTTTTATATTTACTGTTTTCTTCAATCGTACCAACGCAGAGCCATTTTATGTAAGATGGGCAGCAGTATAAATTTGGTTAGTACATTCCTCTATTCCATGCAAGAGTCAGGAGTAAAGCATTTCAGACAGAAGACCATGTAGTCTTTGCTTGAAAGACCAAAGTCTTTCCATGGCCAATGAGGGAGAGCCCACCACTTTTCTGATTAATTGGTTCCACTGTTGATTTGATAGAGCTAGCAGGATAGTGTTTAAGCAGCTGTATTGCCATAAGCAAGAACCAGATTTAACTCTAGTAAGCTGTAAAAGCTTATAGTGTGACCAGGCCACTCACTTTTTCAAACCAGTTGTCAAGATTACCATTGTAGGAAATTTAGAAGGACAGAGCTGTAAGCATATTGCTCTGTGCTCACGTATGAAAGACAGGATAAAAATCTAAAAAATTAACTGCTACTGCTATTTTATTACTTTTTAGATTTATTATTAATTATTAATTTATTTACTATTTACTAATTTATTAGTAATTACAGGTTCATATATTGTTAACGTAGTGCTCTCTGAGCTAATGGCTGAAATAAAGGTTTTGTTTTGATACAAAATTTCTCCTAATAGGCAATTGGAATCTGTCTTCCAATTATTGAAATCTATTATAGTACAGTGTTCCATTTAATTTACTTTAAAATAAAGGTCTTCTATAAATACTTGCCTTTTTTCAAGTACCTGAAGGAGTACAGCAGGTAGTAAGGCCCAAAAAAATACCACACAGTAACACAATGCAAGTTTTGATTCAAATTTCTTCTCATTTATTCGAACAATTCGCCCTACGTCCACCGACTACTGTATTCTTAGCTTCAACCGCAGCAGACACTTTAATAACAAAAACGTGGACTCTACTGCCTAAATGGTCCTTCCATCTCTATGATTTTTGTGCCCGAGGGGGCCTCATTGGAAGGCCCACGGCTCTTGCCCTGACCAAGCCTGTTTTACTTCACCCGTATATCCCTATACACGCACGCAACACATTTTGACATGTAAAGGAACTAGTGAAAAGTGTAAAACCTTTTTCCTCAGCCTTGGCAGTTGAAATGCCGGACTTCAGGCAATGTAAAAGACACCTATTCCTCTCTCCCGATATGCACTGCGTGGCCGGTTCCCACGGAGGCGGTGTCTGGAACGCCAAGCGGAGAAAGAAAAAGGAGATCCGGGAGAAGAGCGTGGAGCGGATGCGGGTTGGAGCTTGGTCCGCTTCGGGTCGCTGGTCCTTCAGTCGAGCCGTCGGTGTCCGTCTTCTGTCCTGCCTCACAAAGTAGGGGACGCGGGGAACGGGCGGTACTGGCCTTGCTGAGCCACTCGCTCACCCCGGAAAAATGCCTCTCTTCACTAGCAACCCCTTCGATCAGGATGTGGGTAAGTGTGAGGGAGGCCCACCTGTCGTCACGCCAGCCTGGGCCCTGTCCGGAGCTGCCCTCTTCCTGGACTTCGGCCCTCGCCATGTCGTCATCAGGGTCTTTGTGAGGCTCTACTTCACCCTTCCCCACAATGGGACCGCGTCTGCTCGCTTCGTCGAAGAATGCCCTACCTTAGATTTTGTTCTGGGGACTGGAGCAAAGCGGACTTGGGTTCCCTGAATTAGGCCAACCGTGTTTAAAACCAACCTTTCTGGGACACGGTGCCCTTCAGAATCATTAATCAGTTTCCTTCATCCCCGGTCCGGGGGTCTTGGAAGTGGGGAAAAATTCCCTTTTATCTTTATTTTCTATCTTAAACCGTTTATAGAGTGAATCCGCTTAGTGTTTTAAACGTTATTTTCATTATCCGAGGAATTTACTCCTCCCCCCCCCGCAAGTTGAGGGTGATCCAAAATTAGCCACGTTGGCAAAATAAACTATTCTCTCAAAATAATAGCGCAAGTAATTAATTTTAGTGCCATATACCACATGGGATTTTGAACTGTGTTAGAAACATTAAATGGAAATGTACTACCTATTGTACCTTTGGTAATTTTTAAATAGTATTTTTTTAGTTTAACTCTTGAAGCTTTTAACTCTTTTCAGGAACTTTTTAAGCTGATACTACTTCAGCATCATGCTTGAGTATTATATGGTATTAGTGGTTTTCAGTTTTAGTGGCTCACTAGCTTTTTCTGTTGTAAACAGATCTGAATAAAAGCCTTATAATAATGAAATAGCTATTGTCTTATGTAGACTTTCATCTATGTGATTGGAAGTAGCTTTTAACTTTTAAGTATATGAGGAGAACTCCTATAGTAACATTGCCTATTGCATATTACAACTAACAGATGTTTATCATTTTCATATTTTATAGTGACTTTGGTGTAAAAAATTTATGCAATGCAGCTATATTGTTATATTGCAAAATTGCTTTGCTTATTTGCATTGAATGATTAAATAACTCTTCTTTTTCCAAGAGAAAGATGTGAACGGAAAATCCAGAGGTTAAGGCAGAGTTTAGGCAACTTGATATTTTAGGCCAACACATTATCCTTGGTCAACATTGCCAAAATAACTGAAGAGATTGGTTCATCAAAATCTTTTCCATACAAATATTAAGAATCTTCAGATTTAGAGTTATATGATATGTAGACAAATGGAAATGCAGACTACTGTAATTTGTTGCCAGCAAAGCATGAAGGATATTCAACAAATATGAAATAAATTTAATTCTGTTTATAACTTCATTGGTAACACACAGTCATCAGTGATTCATAGGAACTTGTGGCAGGTTTGTCACAAGGCTGCATTAGTTAATATGCAGTAAACTGAAACAATATATGAATGGAAAGTGCTTCATTTGTGTTAAAGTCTACACTGAGAAATTCAAGGATGACTTCTTGGAGTGACACAATGAATGTTTTGACAAGCACTGCCTTGTTTTATCAAGCTGGTAGAGAAGCAGTTAATAGATCATATTCTCCTATCTACATTTTAATTTCCTACCAGGATTTTCTAGCAGAGAATTTAGGAACAGGCTTTTGTTTGTAAGCTCTTAAAATCACCTCCCCATACCTTTCTGCTATAATTAGTTGTTTAAATAATTGGACTTTCAAGATTTAAAATTAAGGCATAGAATCAAAAAAAGAGAATGAGATATAGCTAAATCTATACCTTTATTATATCATACTTATATTATTATATCTCTTGATATCTCTCTGTTCTTGTAAAAAATAACATCTATATATTGCTTCATAAACTGTCTTTTTGTTCCTTAAACATCTCAACTCTTTCCTTTGAGAGGCTAATTAACTCCATCCAACTATATTTTTTTCTGTTTTTCCCCTCCTCTCAAGCCTTTCACTTTTCGTTTATATATCATTCACTGTTCAATCCACATTCATTCTGTCAATGTGAGTAGATCACTTAGGTCTTTTTTATCGGTCATTCAGTTTTGTAATTTATTCACATTCATTCAGCATCCATTTTTTTATTGTATGCACCACACATATTTCTCAAGCTACCCACTTCCACTTCATACACATTTTATGCTTCTTCTGGCATAACCATTGTTTATTTTCATACAACATAGTGTGCAGAAGAACACAGGTATATGACTAAGTTCAATAATTTGTCCCTAGTAACAAACCATATACTGCTTTTCTGCCAGCAATTCCATATCTTTAAATTTCTTCATCAACTTTCCCATCTTTTAGGAAATCAAGTAAAGCCCCAACCACCAGGCCATGGACCAGTACCAGTCCATGACCTGTTACGTTCCGGGCCCACATGAGGCCAGCGAACAAGCAAAGCTTCATTTGTGCATGTGCTGGATCTAGTTTGCACATGAAACCATTCCCCCCCTCCCCCTGTCTGTGGAAGACAGTTTTTCTTCTGAAACTGGTCCCTAGTGCCAGAAAGGTTGGGGACTGCCAAAGTAAGGTACATAATTTTTTCTTGATTTTTTTTGCCATTTCTATACAGGTATTTCTTGACTTACAACCATAGTTGAACCCATTTCTTTTGTTAAGTGAAACATTTATTAAGTTAATTTTGCCCCATTTTATGACTTTTCTTTCCACAGTTGTTAAGTGAAGCTGGCTTCCCTATTGACTTTGCATGTCAGAAGATCACAGAAAGTGATCACATGATCCTGGGATATTGCAGCTGTCACAAATATGAGTCAATTGCCAAGCATCTGAATTTTGATCATGTGATCATGAGGATACTGCAATGTCATAAGTGTGAAAAATGATCATTTTTTTCAGTCCTGTTGTAACTTTGAATGGTCACTAAATGAACTTTGTAAGTTGAGGACTACCTGTATAACTTACAATAATTGTGTTTTTTACATTTATGCTTTCATAACTTGTCTTTTTATAAGGGAATAATAATGACATTCTTCATTGGGTAAGCTTATTCACACATGAATAAGCAAACAACAGCCATATTTTGATATTTTTCCAGCTACCCTGTTTACAATTTCAGCCATATTATTTTACAGGGTTCTCACAGTATTAAAGTATTTTAAAATGAAGGGCATAAATAGTTTTGATTGTAATGTAGCATGTAAGACTTTTTTTAAAAAAAATCCATTATAGTTCTTTCTGCCTCTCAATAGCCTTCAGTTTTAAGATGGTGACTATACGCTATTCAGTTTACAAGGCTTTTATATCTTGTATGCTGGCTGAAAATTGTAACAAACTAAAAATGAAATAGATAATAACTAGCAGTGACATATGGAAGATGAACATTATGGATAAAACAGTGTTTTATTTAATTACTTTAATTCTGACTGATTACGTATTATGGCTAGCGCCACTAAGTAAAACAATGGCAAGATTTACATATTTATTTGTTTATATCCTGCTTATATTTTTACAAATAACTTCCCCAAGATCACCCAATTGGCTTTCATGGCTAAGGCAGGATTTGAATTCATGTTCTCTTGCTTTCTAGCCTGATGCCTTAACCACTACACCAAACTGGCTCTCTGCATATTCTACTAAGTTACATACTCCCTTATGCTTAGACATCATTATGAATAGTTGGATTCACATCATTGAATGCCACACTTAGGTTTCTTGTGTCTGTAAAGCTATAATAATTTATATTTTAATTAAGAGGAGTAGCATGAAAATATTATATTCTGCAAGTAAATTTAAGATCTTTTAAGACACGGTTTGTTTCTGTTTTGATGTTTTAAATTTTTTTGTATGGTTAGCTGATTATAAGAAAGAATCATTTTGGAAAGGAATTAGAATTTTGTATGCATTACAATTCATCAAAATCTTGAAAAGTCAGAGAGTCTCCCAAGATTATAGGACAAATATCTCACTCCCATCCCATTGTATTCTGGTTCCTACTTATTGTTATGCATTTTAATTTTAATATTTTAATATTTTTATCTCTATTTTTATACTGTGTTTCCACAAAAATAAGACCGGGTCTTATTTTTGGGGGGACACAAAAACCCTAGGGCTTATTTTCGGGGGATGTCTGACTTTGTGGCTGCCCACCCACTCCATCCCACTGTCTGGTTGCTCGTAGCTGCAGCGGGGCAGGAGAACATGCATGGCACCGGTGCTGCCGCCATGAGGTGAGGTGAGGCAGATGGGGGGATGGAGTTGCCCCAACTGCACCACACCCACTTACCTCAAGGTCCCCGCAGCCAGGGCACTCCCTGCTTGACAACCTCCCCTTGCTCATTCAATAACCTGGATGCCTGCCTGCCCACCCCTTTCATTCCCCTCCTGACCTGGAGGATGTGTGGAGGAGGCTCGGTCTCCTTATCTGACCCCCCTCTGCTGTTTTGGAGCCAGGGGGGAAGTGAAAGCAAAAGGCCTCTGCTGCTGCTGTGCATCAGCTGCGTCTGCTGCTGGAGAGACTTTTTTCGGTCTGGGCCGCCTCCGGTTCGCTTTGCAGACCTCCTCCCCAGCGACAACTGCCTCTTCCGCTAACTCTCCTGTGGCTTCCATCATGACCAGGCAGCTCAAGCCTCCCTTGCCACTTCCCTCCACCTGCCCCACACTTTGCTAGGAGACGAAGCTTCTAGTCTCCATCACTTCTTCATCAGGGCAAAAAGTGTTTGGGTGCTTATGGGGTGCTTGGAAACGGAGCAAATTGCTCCGTTTCCAAGCATGCCATAGGAGCCCAAACACCTTTCTCCCAGAGAGAGACTGGAAGCTTTGTCTGCTTGCAAATGGGCTGCTTGGAAAGAGAGCTATTCACTCCGCTTCCAAGCGCCCCATTTGCAAGCAGATAAAGCTTTCAGTCTCCCTCTGGGTGAAAAGTGCATGGTGCATTCAGATTTTCTGCCTTCTCCCCGCCTCTGCTGCAGTCTTCAGACTTCCCTGTGTTGCACAGCTGTTGGGCTGTGTCTGCTGCCAGTCCCCATATGCTCACCGCCTCTTGATTTGGCTATGTCCACCCCCTCGGTTTTATTTTTGGGGTAGGATTTATATTAGGCTCACCCCAAAAAATCAGGCTGGGACTTATTTTCTGGGTGGGTCTTTTTTGCGGGGAAACAAAGTCATGCTTTAAGTTGTCCAGAGTCGCTTGACAGTGTTATAGGCTGTGTATACATTTAATAAATAAAACAAATTAGTGTATAGAGTAGTAATAGTGAAATCTGTTGGGGAATTAATAAATAATCATACTAATTGTAGAAGCACCATTAAAATAAGGTTATTAGATATTCAGTTTGGTGATTATGTTTTGTGCATCTCTGAGTAAGTGTTGATTCCTGTTTGCTGCCCGGGCTAATCCCTGCAGTTTTCTTGGCAAGATTTTTGGAGGTGATTTGCCATTACCTTCTTCCTAGATCTGAGATAGTGCGATTGGCCCAAGGTCATCCAGCTGTCTGGGCCTAAGACAAGATTGGAACTCACAATCTCCTGGTTTTTACCCTGAAGCCTTTAATCACTACACCAAACTGACTCTCTCAAATCTATATACAAATAAAACCTTAGTTAGCTATAATGTGTTTGATCCATTATTGTGAAAGTTTTTTCAATATATAATTTGAATTATATTTTGCACATGCGATTTCCTGGAGTAGGTAAGTTCTAAATTTTAAATTTTAATGTAGGACATATACGGATTGCTAATATTAATGATATCATTTTATTAGTTGTAGCACTACTATCAGAGTAACTGTTGAATAAGATTCATTTTTGAGATTTTAAGTTTGTAATATGGAATAAAAAATAAATAAATATTGATCTGTAGTCTTTGAGAGAAACCATCTTTACTTAGATTGAAATAGTATGCAGTCTTCGTACTTGGACAAGTATTTACAAAATAGAAATGCAGGATAGAAATCAAACAAATATTTTTTAGAAGGTGTGTTGTATTATGGGGATGATTGGCAAGTTCAGCATGATCTGTAAGGCTTTGGATTTAGATGGAATAATTATGCATGATTACAACAGATGGCAAAGAACTACAGAACGCTCACAATTATTGTCACATATTTTCCTCTATTTTTGTGAACTAAAGACATGGGGTCGCGATGGGTCAGACACGACTTTGCAATTAACTAACAACAAAGACTTTGATCCACTTTTTGTGTTGTTCCTAGCTAGACTTAGAAGTCAGAAATTATGAATAGTTCTAAACTGTTTAAAAGCAAATATAGAGCGTGTAACGAGAAACAAATTATTACTGGCTTGCAAGATCTACAATAATAGCTGGTAGCATAAATGTGTTGATTTGATGAAGCAATGTGTTAATGTTTTCAGTAATGAAATTCTGCTGTTAAATATGTTCACATTGCAAATATACATTCTTAAAATAGTAAAAAAATGCTATGCCTGCTTAAAAGAAAACTATCATCTTTTAACAGTAGAATGACTTATATTCACTTAAAAATTATCGTACTTAATTCAGCACAATTTTGATACTAAATTTTTACTCATACTTCACTTTTCTTTTTGTTAAGAGAAAGCAACTAGTGAAATGAATACTGCTGAAGATTGGGGACTCATCTTAGATATCTGTGATAAAGTTGGACAATCACGGACTGGGTAAATATTATCATATTTAAATTAATTTGGCAACATTTGAAATAAAGAGCTTAGAAATCTGAAATGTGTAAGGCACCTCTTGGGGCAAACGTAACATTGTATGTGATAATGCTCAGGTTTGCAAATTGTTTATAGTTTTAGCTTTTTTCGCAGAAGGACAGGAAATTTAAGAATGCATTTAGTAGAATTGTGTGTGGCTAATATAGAATATTTTATTAATCTTGCATTAGGCAGCCCATAATTGTATCTTTCAGTTATTACAATATTCATGTACTCTTCTAATTGCAGTTGATCTTGTAAATAATGCAGTGAATTAGTACTTGTTATTTCCAAAATAAGCATTTCCAAAGCACTCTGATAGTTGAATTCTAAGAGTTGGCATCTAATCATCATAATCAAAGCATTGAAGTAACTGAGCAGTTTGCTATTTTTTTTCTGGTGGGCTGCTAAAATACTTTTACCTGATGTATAAAATTGTATTAAATAAAATAAAATTAATTTTATTTCTGTTTTTATAAAAAATATCCAATACTCTTAATAGCATTTTGGAAATTAGATTGAAAAAAACAGTGTATTTTAACAGAATTATTTGGTATATAATTTGTTACAATTTGTTCTTTTACTTCATTGTCCTGTATAATGTAGATTTAAAAACTTTTATTGTAATCATTAAATATTGTTTATGCAGTAGCACCATATTTCTCTTATAGTCTTTTATTTCAGTTGATTTCATGAAAAAAGACTATGGAGACAACACAAACCAATTTTATCCATTTAGTTTGCCGTAATGAATTTGTATGTTTTAGTTGGTGTTACACCATGTTAATTTCTTTGTTCTTGAATTTGTTTGAAAGAAGTTACATTATTTGAAACAAATCTTATGAATAAGGAAACTTTAAGAAGTACTGTGCAGTATGGAGTATCGTATATAAGGCGTATAAATTTAAAAGTTTCATTGAGCAGGGTAAAGACTCAGATCTTAAATTACTACTTGAATTTTATTTTTCCACTGCAGGGTATCATTCTATATAATAATAGAATTATTTGTTAACATTATTTTAATTTAGCCTGAAATTATGTCTTCTTCATTTCTATGACTTGATATAAACTTTAAGATTATTGAAATGTACATATAATATTTGTTCTAGTATGATAGACACAGATAGTTTATTTTTGAAATGATAATTTCAAAACAGTAATATGTACAATAGCTTTTAATGTGTTTTGATTTTAAAATAGGTTAAAGGGTTAAAAGAATATTAAAAGCACTCTACAATTATGAACAAATAGTTCTAGATAAAAAAATCGAACTTTCTGGAAGCAAATCATTTATATAAATATAACTTTCTAAGTCTTGTACTATTTAAATAAACCAAGGCTTTGAAACCAAGGTTTGTCATATAATTTAGGATATATATCTTGCTACATTTATCTTTTATTACTGCTTGATGGATTATTTACAATGCGTTTCTGTAACATTATTATAGATATTACCACAAGGTTGCAGTACTGAGGCCTTTGTTGACATGCTGTATATTAGTACTATTTAAAGGTTCTTTTGTGTTACATCAGTGTGATTCAATGTTGCTATGAGAATTGCCCTTTAGGTACATTCAAACCTATGAGTCCCTAAACTAAGCAAAATTAAAATTCAGTTTTTCAAGTAAGACTTTTAAATTATGGAGTGCAGTTGACTTATTTGTTTAATTAAATATATAAGTTTCAGCTAACCAGTAGAAAAGTAGAATGAAATGATTATCATTAAACAACAAAATAAATTTGAACTAATATAATGTATTACATACCTTATTCTCTACTGCATCTTAAAATATATGTTGTAATGATAATATTCATTTTATTACAAGCCTTCCTTCATTTTTCATATAAAGTAAGAACATAATCATTTTACCAAAAGTATAATGAAGACTACTGCCTGGAATATAACAAGATTGCAGTTCCATAAAGTGTGAAATAATCATATTATTTGGCTTGTGTTTTATAATTAGTAGTACCAAAATGATGCAGCAATTTTCAAAACATAGAGGCACCAAATAAAGATATCCCATATGAAATATAATTAAAATACTGTTCCCTTCAGCTGCATATTGATATTTGATGAAAAATACTGCATTTTTATACCATTATTATTAATGATATTATTAATGTGTGTGTGTGTATGTGTGTGCGCGTGTATACATATATATATATATATATATATATATATATATATATTTATGTTTTCTGAGGTTTTCGCGGGTATTTGTATATAGGTCTTTGGTTGTTCGGGTTTTCTCCCGCGTAAAATTGGAAGTGTCTTGGCAACGTTTCGACGAAGTCACATTCGTCATCTTCAGGCTGGTGTTTTTAGCTTCTTGCTTTGAGCAGCAATGTGTGGTTTTAGCTGTTTCTTCCTTTTAACTGCCAGTGAGGGTATGAACTGATTGGATGGGAGCTTGGCTGTGTTCTGATTGGGTGGAGGTGTGTTCTGAATGGTTAGGGGCTTGGCTGTGCTCTGATTGGCTGGGGGAGTGTTCTGTTTGGTTGTGCTCAGGTTAGTCTGAGTTGCAGAGGGGTTTAAGATTTTGGGGTTAGGGAGTCGTTTGTCAATAAGGGCAGGTTTCCAAATGGCTGGTAGGCGGGAGGTATCATCTCGCTTGTTCATGCTGTGTGGGCGTTTTTCTATCTCGATGGCTTCTCTGATTATTCTGTTATTAAAATGTTCACTTTTGGCAATGGTTCTGGTATTTTTAAAGTCAATTTCGTGTCCTGTGGCTTTAAGGTGTTGGACCAGGGAAGATGTTGGTTCCTCTTTTTTGACTGAGTTCTTATGTTCTTCAATGCGTGCACTTATTCTTCTGTTGGTTTGTCCGATGTATGTGGTGGGACAAGTGGTGCATGGGATTTCGTATACTCCTTGATTTTCTAATTCAATTTTATCTTTGGGGTTTCTAAGGATGGTGGATATTTTTCTGTTTGTGCAGAATGCTGTTTTGATGTTGTGTTTATGAAGGATCTTACTGATTCTGTCTGTGGTGCCTTTTATGTATGGGAGGAGGGCTTTGCCGTTTTCTTGTTCTTTGTCTTGGATTTTGGTGGGGGTTTCTTTTTGGATTAGGTTTGTAATCTTATTTCTATGGAATCCATTGGATGTTAGTACATTGGTGAGAGTGTGTAGTTCGGGTTTTAGGTGTTGTTCGTCAGCTAAGCGTTTTGTTCTGGAGATGAGTGTCTTGGCTACAGAGTTGATCTGTGCTGGGTGGTGGTGTGAGAGAGCGTGCAGATAGCGGTTTGTGTGTGTTTTCTTCTGGTAGATGGTGTGTCCTAGGGAGCCATTGGATTTCTTGTAGACTAAGACATCCAGGAAGGGAAGTTGGTTGTTAGCTTCTGTTTCCATGGTGAACTGTATTTTGGGGTGTAGGCTGTTGAGGTGTGTGAGGAAGTTGTCCAGTTTTTCTTTCCCATGTGGCCAGATTATGAAGGTGTCGTCTACGTATCTGAGCCAGAGTTTGGGTTTGTGATCCGATTTTTCTAGAGCTTGGGTTTCAAAGTGTTCCATGTAGAGGTTTGCAATGACAGGTGAGAGGGGTGATCCCATGGGTGCTCCTTCTGTTTGTTTGTATTTTTGTCCATTATAGATGAAGTATGTGTTGGATAGGCAGTGGTTGGTCAGATCTAAGATGTGTTTGGGGGGGTTATATTTGTTTTGGATAGCTGTCAAGGCTTCTTTGATAGGCACTTGGGTGAAGAGGGATATGACATCGAAGCTCACTAGTAGGTCGCTGGGCTGTAAGTTTTGTTTCTTTATGATCTCTATAAACTGGAATGAGTTTTTTACGTGTGAGGTGATGGATTCTGCATAGGGCTGTAGTTGTTTGGCGAGAAATTTGGCTAGGTTTTGTAGAGGTGAGCCTATGGAGCTGACTATAGGTCTGAGTGGGGTTCCTTCTTTGTGTATCTTGGGGAGACCATAGAGTTTGGGGCATCTGGATGATTTCTCTCTGGGAATGATTCTTTGCTGGATGTCTTCGCTAATGGGGGAGGCTTTTATTTTGGATCTGGTGGTTTTTTCCAGGTAGGTGGTGGGATCTGTATTTAGGGGTTTGTATGTGGAGTCTTGGAGTAGGTTGGTTAATTTGGTTTGGTAGTCAGATGTGTTCATAACCACTGTGGCATTGCCCTTGTCTGCTGGTAGGATTATTATGCTGGTGTCTTCTTTCAGGTTACTTAGTGCTGTCTGTTCCTCTTTTGGTAAGTTGCTTTTTGGTGGCTTGCTGGTGCAGAGGATGTTGGTGATTTCGAGTCTGATTCTGTTAGCGTCGTCGGGGTTGATTTTGGTCAGGCTGGTTTCAACTCCACATATAATGGTTTCAGTGGGGATGTGTTTGGGAGCGACTGCAAAGTTGAATCCTTTGGAAAGGACATTGGTTTCGGCTTTGGTGAGGATCCTATCTGAGATGTTATGCACTGTTTGTTTCATGTGTGGCTGTGAGGGAGGAGGGGTTTGTTTCTGGCGTTCTTGTAGTCTTTGGAGTTTGTTGGTGTGTGTATCTGTCTTGAGGGTGGTCTGTGTTTCGGCTCTCCAGACGGAGAGTTGTTTGGATTTTCCCAAAGTGCGGGGTGGATCTTGTTGCTGAGTTTGAGGTGGAGTGTGAGGAGATCTTTGTTAATTCGGTCTAGGAGGAATCTTTTTGTGTGAAGTTCATTTCTGATTAGGGCCAATTCTGTTCTTTTCAGGAGTGTGGGTGCAGAGCTGGAGTGGAATTTCAGTTGGAAACATGTGGGGATTAGATTTTGATCTTGGCAGTTGCATAGGAATCCGAGGTCGCATAAAATGGAAGCTCTTTGGACTTCAAGTTTTTCATAGGTCCTGGTCAGATGGTGGATTTCCTCCCCATAGAGGTTCGATATTTGTTTTCTGAGGTTTTCGCGGGTGTTTGTATGTAGGTCTTTGGTTGTTCGTATTTTCTCCCACGTATAATTGGAAATGTCTTGGCGACGTTTCGACGAAGTCCCATTCGTCATCTTCAGGCTGGTGTTTTCAGCTTCGTGCTTTGAGCAGCAATGTGTGGTCTTAGCTGTTTCTTCCTTTTAACTGCCAGTGGGGGTATGAACTGATTGGGTGGGAGCTTGGCTGTGTTCTGATTGGGTGGAGGTGTGTTCTGATTGGTTAGGGGCGTGGCTGTGCTCTGATTGGCTGGGGGGTTGGCTGTGCTCTGATTGGCTGGGGGGTTGGCTGTGCTCTGAGTGGCTGGGGGAGTGTTCTGTTTGGTTGTGCTCAGGTTAGTCTGAGTTGCAGAGGGGTTTAAGATTTTGGGCTGCCTTGCTATTTTTTGGCTTCGCGTTTGTGGTCGTGCCTCATTCTTCATGGAGGGTGTCAGTTTGCTTCCTGTATGGATTGGAGGGGTTTAAAGTGGCTAATGATGCAGCTGTGGTCTGGCTTCTGGTTTGTGGTCGTGCCTCATCATCGGTGTGGCTTTGGGTTTGCTTTTTGCGTGGATGTGTGGTGGTGACATCCTGTGTGGTTTTTGTGAGTGTGGGTCTGGTATCATTTTTTGTGTTAGGGAGTTTGCAAAAAGCAAACCCAAAGCCACACCGATGATGAGGCACAACCACAAACCAGAAGCCAGACCACAGCTGCATCATTGAATATAGCTAATATTTCTGTCTTCTATTTTCTCCACAACAATAGCCTTGTGAGGGGGTTAGTCTAAGAGAGACACTGGTCCAAAATGAGCTAGCTTTCATGCTTAAAGGAAGACTAGAACTCAAACTCTAGGTTTCAGCATCACCAAAGTGATTCGACATGTTAACATAACCTGTCAGCCCTAAGCTCAAAAATAATACAGTAATCAAGTTCATCCATTGACTTTTGCTGTCTTTCTCCCACTGCTGACAGGGCATATCCAGTCTTACTCTATAGTATGGGAGGCAGTTGCTGGTCATTCCGGGCTTTTTTCCAAGGCTCTTGCACTATTCATCATGAAATATTTGTTAGGTTTTTTTCCTCAACAATTTTTCTCATATTCATTCAAATTAAATACCTCTTGGATAGAATTTTGAGATGTTGCTTGGGATTTGTTTGAATTTTAGGTGAAACAGATTATTTGGATTCCTTCAATATTGTTTTCTGGTTGATGGGCTGTGTTGGTATCGAGATAGTGGGAACATAACCCCATTCATCCATAGATCTCTCAGCAGCTTTTGGTATCAACAGCAATGCTATTGTATTGGACCATCTGTGGGTTGGGAGTTGGAGGAACTTTTTTTTCAGTGGTTCATTTCTATCTTAATAATGGCAATTCCAAGCAGCAGCAGTAGAGAAGAAGCAATTCTATTACTGGGTGCCCTGTCTGTGTTGCAACAGGACTCTATTTCTCCACACTACAAATCAGCATGCATAAGACATTTGGAGGAGGTCATACGCTGTTTTAGGGTGAGGTATTATCTATGCACTGATGATATTCAATTGAACACCTGCTACTTTAGATCATCCTGCAGATGCTATTGAAGTCCTAATCCAATGTATATGTAATGGCATGTAAGAATGATCTTGGAAGGCAGGAGAAAAGGCCATAAACTTGACAGTGGTATGACAAGTGGTGGCTGAATCGGCAGGAAGAATGTGGGTGTGAGAAATGTCTCAGAAGGACTTCCCCTAGTTTCTTGTATTGTAGGGTGAGGAAAGGAGAGATGTACTTTCAGACTTGGGAAGATTCTGTTAATGTAACCTTACAATAAAGTTGTACTTCTGGGGGTGTGCTTTTTGTCTGGATTATCTTGCAAATTTGACAGTGTGGAAGTTGTGAGATCTGGATGGATAGAACAAACTCCCAGCTAGAGGTAATTGATGTTTGTCCTGAAACACCCTGGCTTCAAGTCTGTTGGCTTTGGATGGAATCACTATTCTCCTGAGGGGAAGGTCCACCCAGGACCTATGTCTCTTGCTGGAATGTCAGGTGGGAACCATGGCCAGGATGACATTTGATGAGCTGAGGCTGGTTGGGCCAACTAGTTCTTTACCAAGGCTAGGATGTTTTTGGCAACAATAAATTACGAATTTATCACCATCCATGTAGATGGTTGTACACATAGCTAGTTTGAAAACAACTCAGTTGATACACTATACGGCAGGATGCTAATGGATAAGAACTACTATGCAAGCATAACAGCTTTTTCCCCTGTTTGTTGCATTGGCTGCCAATTATCTCTTCAATCCAATTCAGAGGGCTCTTTTTAACTTATAAAGTCCTCAGTGCCTTTGCTTCAGGGTATCTTAGGAATTGTCTCCTTCAGGCTGTAGCAGCTTTGGTCAATATATTTTAAAACCTACTTATTTTATTTGCTTAGACCTAAGGACTGTCTTCGTTCTATTATGAAGAGGGTGAACCACAAGGATCCTCATGTTGCTATGCAGGCATTGACAGTACGTGGCTTTTTATTTTTTAAAGAAAATTTTAAAATAAATTTAAATAGTTAAATACCTAATCTCGATTTTTCCCTCTTATCTTTAGCTTCTTGGAGCATGTGTCTCAAATTGTGGTAAAATATTTCATTTGGAAGTGTGTTCAAGAGATTTTGCAAGCGAAGTAAGCAATGTACTAAATAAGGTAATGTAGTTTAAAGTTGATTATACAGCTGTCAGTTTAGAAGAATTATAGTATGAGAGATAGATACACTTCACCATGAATAATATACATATGGATAAATAACTATATGATTATAATAGGAATGCTGTTCTTTAGCAAAAATTATAATCAAGGATTTTTAAGTTGAAGTGAGCACTAATTCACAAAATGAATTGGTCCTTAATGTGCTTATATGCTTTTGTTAAATTATCAAATAGAAATCAAAGTTGGGAAGGGAAGACAGAAAAAAGCCCTCCAATGTTTTAATTCTAGCTATCAGAAATCTCAGTGTATATATAACTGTATTGATCTGAATAAATTTCCAAGGAAATGATGTTCATATTGTCGGTGCACTTGTTAATTGAATGCAATATTTAAACAGAATTTTGTGATAATCAAAATCAGTCATTAAAGTTTATGAAACTCTTAAAAGAACTGAGTGAGTCCCTTATGGAAGCCTGAAAAAACTGGCTATTTTTAAGAATAGCCAAGAAGTTTATATATTTACATGAGGTTCAAAGCACATTTTCAAAAACATTTTTGAAAAATGGTTTTGTACCCTCTGAATGCTTTTAGAAATTAGTCCATTTATCCATTTGTCCTATGATATCAGGTAATTAAGGCTGAGTCTGATGATCTTATAGTAAATATGTTACGCTTTTTACAGGGTCATCCAAAGGTCTGTGAAAAGTTAAAAGCCCTCATGGTGGAATGGACAGATGAATTCAAGAATGATCCTCAACTTAGTCTGATATCTGCTATGATAAAAAACCTTAAGGAACAGGGTGTCATGTTTCCAGTTATTGGTTCACAGGTATAGTGGTAATAAATAACTATTATATATGTATCCTTACAAACTGTTCTTGCTTCCTCCATTTCTATTGCTTCTGTACTTCTAGTGGACATGTCTACATACTACTTCATACATAATCTTTTGTTTTTAAATTACATCTTTTTTTTTGACCTTCATTAGTTACATCAATTTTTATTTATTTTATTTTCCACCTTTATTTTTTTATAAATAACTCAAGGATGTGAATATATCTAATACTTTTTCTTCCTCCTATTTTCCTCACAACAACCCTGTGAATGGGTTGGGCTGAGAGAGAGAGTGTGTCTGGTCCAAAATCACCCAAATGTTTTTTTATACAAAAATCTAACTATAATTTCCTTAGTCTTCCTCTTTCTCTTGCACCATTCACTTTTCCTTTATATGAAAGGAATGAAATTTAATTATCTCTGTAGAACTGGTTCACTTCAACATACTTCTTTTATATTGTTCACTCGGTCGGTATTTAGTCCATATTTGTTCAGCATTTAATCTTCATCCTATCATACACATTTCTCAAGTAAACAATTTGCACTGTATTGATTTCCTGTCTCAGGCAACCAACTTGGTGTCTTATACATTGTTTTTCAGATCCGCCAGTTCATAATACAATTTGCCTAATGTTTGCTGCTACTCATTTGGGTTCTCAGTCATTGAAGAAGGAATTGACAAGACCTAACTTGACATCTTCTAATCCTCTAAAAAAATTTACCACCGCTTGCGCTTTTGCGAGCAGTAAAACTTGCCATTGTTACTATATTCATTACTATTGATTTTAAAACTGATCCTTTGCCAGAAACTGTCAGAGTTATGTAGCCGGAGTAGTGAAGAAGCATGTCTAGTGAAGCCTAAATACCATCAGCAGTCATGAACCCTCCTCTAACCTTGAAAAATTGCATGCCTGATCTGTTGTAGCAACTCTAGACTACTTTTTTCCTCAGCAAAGAAATCAGTGAAGCAAACATAATGAAGTATCACATTCATATCCATAGGTGCTATTTTTTATAATGACAAAAGCATTTAAGTGCAAAAAGATTCTGCTTTTTAAATTAATGAATAAGTTACTGTTACCTAGTTAACATAGATTATATTCTTATATTTTAGGTGTTACATGTTTATTGAATCTCAAACAGATACACCAAGATCTGTCAATTCCTGTCATGCTTACATACCATGAAGTTAGGCCCAAACTTAAGTTGTTGTTTTTTTTCTGAGTGGCTGTTTGGAGAATTGTGCTTTTTAGAACAGTATGCTCCCTTCATAGACCATTGCTCTACTTGACTTTTCAAAGCCAATTGGAAATATGTTAAAGAAAACAATGGGACCATTTTTAATATATTGAATATAGTGCAGTGATGTTTTTTAAAAATATATAAGTGTTGTTCCTCTATGTTTTGATCAGGCTGCAGAACAAGCAAAAGCAAGCCCAGCTCTAGTAGCTAAAGATCCTGGAACAGTAGCAAATAAGAAAGAAGAAGAGGACTTAGCTAAAGGTTGGTTTGACTTAAAGACAATATAAACATTCAACATTTATAGTTGGTGTTTTAAAAATCTAATAAAAACCAATGATTGTATAGTTAATATGCTTTATTAGATGATGTTTTTATATTCTTTGTATGAAAATGTAGTTTTTGAAAATGTAACATATATTCAGTGGCTTTTTGTTGTGAAATGAAAAAGTAGAAAAAAAGCTGGCCTAAACAATGATGCCAAAACACACTTGGCTTTATAACTGATATGTGGACAGATGTACTTGAACTAAAGCCTAATTATTGCTGAGGACCAATTATGAAAGAAACAACCTTTTTTCAAGAAAGTAGAGACCAGAGTATTTGGCTTAAAAAAAAAGAATTATTATAAAACCAGTTTTATAAGTAGGAAATCAAAAGAAAATATTGATTCTATAATGCTTACATATTATTTTAAACCTTAAAACCTTTAAACATTGTTCAGACGGGATTTTACAGAGCCTTAAAAGTAATGTAAGATTAAGACAATAACTGTGTTATCTTAATCTTATTTTACTTTCAAGGCTCTGCAGAATATTTTTTGACCAAATTCCATTAATATTTCAAATAACCTGCAAAGAAGAAGAAAATTGTTAGAAAAAGATTTCCTTCAAAATATTAAACTGCAATCCAAATAACAGCACCAGAAAGTAATTCAAATGTGAGAAGTAATGAACACAAAGGACAAAATCCTAATTTCTGCACCTCATTTAATTATTGGTACACGATAATTTTACTAGTATTACTGTCATTACTTTGCATATCTGCTATTGAAGATTAAGATGACCAGAAAGAGATCAAAGAAATATGATAAACAGGACAATAATATTTGAATTGGATTAAATCCTACTTTTCCATCAGAGGAAAAAGATATTCAAGCTGGCTAATAAGAATACCATGCAACCAACTTTGGTTAAGTTGACAGATTTTGAGGTTGTCAATAAGATAAAATATCTGGGGGTTATTTTATCTGTTTCTAATGCAAAATTGTACAAAAATAATTATGAAAGGCTGTGGATCAATATACAAAGAGATTTGGAAAATTGGGAGAAGTTGCAATTACCTCTTTTGGGAAGAATTGCGGCGATCAAAATGAATGTTTTGCCAAAGTTTCTTTTTTTATTTCAAATGATACCTATTTTAAAGAATGAGGTTAATTTAAATGAATGGCAGAAAGATATTAACAAATTTATCTGGGCAGGGAAAAAACCAAGAGTAAAACTTAAAATTATACAGGATATTCATGAGAGAGGTGAACTCAAGGTACCGAATTTGAAATTGTATTATGATGCTGTGGTTTTAACATTAATAAGTGATTGGGTTAATTTAACAAATGTAGAAATACTCCTCTTAGAGGGTTGGGATTTACTTTTTGGATGGCATGCCTATTTAATTTTTAATAAAAAGGTTGATAGGGTCTTTAAATCTCATATTATAAGGATTTCTTTACTTCGGGTTTGGAGGAAATATTATAGAAGTGATTTTAAAATTCCACTATGGGCTATACTGGGGCATGCGATAGAAGGGATAAGGAGAGGAGTTAAGATGGATAGCGTTTCTTATACACAACTACTTAGATGGGATGGTAAAAATTGGCAATTAAAATCTTTGGAAGATTTAATACAAGAAAATATTATTTATTCATGGTTTCATTATAGACAAATAGTGGAGAGGTGGAAGATAGATCGTAACGTGGGTTTGCTTAGAGAAGATGAGAATTTATTAAAACAAATAAAAGATCAAAGACGAACCCATATTAAGAGAATTTATGGGGTGTTAGTAGAATTGGATTCAGAAGTAGAATTAGTTAAAGAATGTATGGTCAAATGGGCACAAAATTTTGATGAACCGGTTCTATTAGATACTTGGGAAATTATCTGGGTGAGGAATGTTAAATTTACACAAGCCCAAAATTTAAGGGAAAATTTTTACAAAATGTTTTATAGATGGCACCTTGATCCACAAAAATGTCTCGTATGTATCCTGACTTACAGCCTAAATGTTGGAGATGTGGATGTTTGGATGCTACTTATTATCATATCTGGTGGTCATGCAAAAATATAAAAGCTTTTTGGTTTAAGATATGGTGGAATATTCAAAGAATTTTTAGAAGAAGGGTAAAATTTACCCCACAACTGTTTTTGTTAGGTATTGTTTCTGATTGTGATACTAAAGAGACTATATTGATGTTAAATTTAATCACAGCGGCAAGGTTGTTAGTAGGGCAATGTTGGAAGAAGTAATCTTTGCCTACCTTGCAAGAGTGGTTTTTTAAAGTTTCTTATTTGGCGGAAATGGCAAAGATTTCGGCTTTCTTGAAAGACCAATCGCAAGAGAAGTATTTTTTGGTATGGAAAAAAATGGATAGACTTTATACAATATAAGTTGGATATAAAAAATATTATTTAGCTTTTCAATAACTTATACTTAAAATTTAAGATATTTTATAGACTTTTTTCCTTTTTCTTTCTTCCTATTTTCTCGTATTTCCTTGTATTTTTGTTTTTTTTATACATATATTATTGTTAACTAGTTTACAATTTGTTTAATTAATGTATTTAGATTTGTTTATGGTTTATATCTGTTTTAAGACTTTTTGAAAAAATATTAATTAAGCCTGTATTCAGCTCTGGGAAGGTTGGGGGAGGGCATGGGAGGGTTGGGGGGGTTTGGGGAAGGGAACCGTATTGTTTTGTAAAATTTAAAATTTTTTAATAATAATAATAAAAAAAGAATACCATGCAACATAAATTGACAATAGAATTAATTATACCAAAAAAAGATTAAAAGCCAATAAAATCTGATGACCATTATTAATTTATTAGTCTGTTAATATGTTAGGTTAAATGGGAAATATATATTTTAAAACTGTTTTTGATGACAATGGATCAGCACTACTCCTAAGGGGAATTCCATTGCTTAGAAATGACACAGGAAAAAAGTCTTTTTTGGTTTAAACAAATAGGTCTTACATATATATCTAATATATCTTTTAAATTGATATTTGGTAGGTTTTTCATATTTATACTTTATGAAGTATTTCCCCGTTTTTTTATTCTGCATAACCTCCTTGTCCCCCAATAATAGCTTCTTAAATTTGAGTAGTTTTTTTTAAAAAGTATGTTATTCAAGATTATTAAAATGCAAGCATGAGAATCAATTCATGAACTTTATCTGTTTTAGTAGGCATAATTGTATATCTTCAGTATAAGTTGTGCTTGACTAATTTAAATGAATATTGTCCTTTTTAGTTTAATTTTAAGGATATATTATGCAAATAATCACACAACTGAAATGGCATAAATTTAATGAAAATTTCTTTTCTTTGTTTATTACTTCACAGCTATTGAATTATCACTGAAAGAACAAAGACAACAACAAACACCACTTTCCACTCTTTATCCAAACACTACAACTCTCTCAACAAATCACAAACATGAGGGGCGAAATGTTAGAGCAATTTATGATTTTGAAGCTGCTGAAGATAATGAATTAACATTCAAAGCTGGAGAACTTATCACTGTTCTTGATGACAGGTAAAAGGAGTATCTCTTGGACATATAGAATTGTTAAATACCTTGGTACATACTTGTTACTTTCAGTTATCATAATGGCATTTTGATGCTGTGCAGTTCAGTGGGATGTGGTCTATGTTTTAATGATCTTTGGACTTTTTAACATTTTATATTCTTTTGATTCACTTGAATCAGAATATTTTTACCTGTTAGGCATAACTTTAGTAGTCTAATGTTACTTATTTTTTTTTTTAGTCTTTGTGCTTTTTTTAATGAAAGGACCCACTGAAAAACCCTTAAATATAGTGAGCTGAATCCAAGCATACCACTTTCAGAAAAGAAGGCCTTTTTATGTAGAAAACTGTATGTGAATACAGTTATTTGTTTAATCTAGATTTCAAAAGGTTGATGGTGGTCCTTGCATTTAAGTGAAAACAAGTATAATTTCCTCTTTAGATCTCTTATCTGAATATATTGAGGTTGAAGAGTAGTGGTGGGGCAGAACTGCATTTGTGATCTGTTTTTTATTCCACTTTGAGATCTCCATACAAATGTCTGAATGGAGCTGGTCCTTTAGAGCAAGGCTTTTCAACCAATGGTATGGGTACCACCTGTGGTACATTGGCACCTGGCAGGTGGTATGCGAATCCTAGAAAAGTGGTAGCGGGGGAGGGGAATGAGCTGAACCGGTGGCAGCACCGCAAAGCCTGAGCGAGAGATGGCTGGAGCTGCAGGGCTGTCAGGGCTCAGCGGAAGCGCCAGGATCAGCGCCAGGTTCCAGCTGGAGCTCGGTGCTGATCCTGGCGCTTCTGTGAGCCCAGAAGAAGGGCTGATCAGCTGGAATATTGCAGCATCTCCAGGGTCTTGTGATTTACATTCAGATGTTTGGCAATTATTTCATATTTATGATGGTCACAGTGTCCCAGGGTCATGTGAAGTGACCAAAACCTGTTGCAACCCCCCACATACGGGGGGAATAAAAACCAAACACCCACCCAACCCCCACTGCCAATCCTCAACAGAAATGCTCACAACAATGAAAACCTCGGAGAGGAGGAAGAGCAACTCCGGGCGGGCAGGCAGGTGTCTTGCTCGGCTTGGGCACTTTTTTCAGAGCCATTGTAACTTCGAACAGTCAGTAAGCAAACAGTTGTAAGTCGAGGACTACCTGTACTTCATCACTTTTTTCCTTCTTTTTTTTTTGGTCATCAAGTTTTTGACACTTTGTTAGGTGACTGGTGGTACTCAGGTATTGCCATATCCTAAAAGTGGTACAGTGGGTGAAAAGGTTGAAAAGCCCTGCTTTAGAGCAGATGGCTCCAACCTTTTGGGCACCTGGGACTGGTTCTGTGGAGAGAAGTTTTTTCGTGGATCAGAGGGAACGTGGTTTTGTGTGCTGCCTGCATCTCACGTATGGGGCTTTGCTTGATTGTGTGGCCCGTATTGGTCCATAGACGGGGGTTGGGGACCCCTGCATTAGAGCATCAGAAAGTATGGTTTTGTAAGTTGTTATGCAATAAACTCTGATTCACACATAGAACTTAGCCATTTGTTGATAATGCAAACAGTCTTCAGTTTACATTTAAATCAGGTACAGTGAGGGAAAAAATTATTTGATCCCCTGCTGATTTTGTACATTTGCCCACTGACAAAGAAATGATTGATTTGATTTTGATTTGATGTACAAATATTTATATGCCGCCCAATCCCAAAGGACTCAGGGCGGCGTACAAAGTTAAAAACAGTCATAAAACAATAAAATAATCCAGTCATACCACGAGTCCGATCATATCCCGCCCCCCCGGGGACATCAGCCCCAGGCCTGCCGGAACAGGAGAGTTTTAACGGCTTTCTTAAAGGCCGGCAGGGTGGGAGTAGTTCGAACCTCGGGGGGAAGTTGATTCCACCAGGTCGGAGCCACCACAGAAAAGGCCCTTCCCTGAGGGCCCGCCAACCGACATTGTCTGGCCGATGGGACCTGAAGGAGGCCCAATCTATGGGACCTCACCGGTCTCTGGGAGCTGTGTGGCAGAATGCGGTCCTGTAAGTAACCTGGCCCTATGCCATGAAGGGCTTTGAAGGTGATTACCAACACCTTGAATTGCGTCCGGAGACCCACAGGAAGCCAGTGCAGCTCACGGAGGATAGGTGACACGTGGGCGTGCCTTGGCGCACCCACAATCGCTCTTGCGGCTGCATTCTGAACCAACTGCAGCCTCCGAACGCTCTTCAAGGGTAGCCCCATGTAGAGCGCATTACAGTAATCCAGTCTTGAGGTGACGAGGGCATGAGTGATACTGTGAGTAAAGCCTCTCGGTCCAGATAAGGCCACAACTGGTGCACCGAACCTGGGCAAAGGTCCCCCTGGCCACAGCCGATAGATGTTGTTCCAAATTTAGCTGTGAGTCCAGGAGGACACCCAAGTTGCGTGCCTGCACTGAGGGAGGTAAATTTGCCCCCCCCCGGACTAATGATGGAGCATCCAGTTGACCTTTGGGAGGCAAGATCCAGAGCCACTCGGTCTTGTCAGGGTTGAGTCTAAGCCTATTCACCCCCATCCAGATCCTCACATCTTTCAGGCACCGGCACATCACATCGACTGCTTCACTGAAAGGACACAGGGTGGAGATATATAATTGGGTATCATCCGCGTACTGATGATACCTCACCCCGTGTCGCCGAATGATCTCACCCAGTGGTTTCATGTAGATGTTAAAAAGGAGGGGGGGACAGGACCGAGCCCTGAGGCACCCCATGATCGAGGCGCCTAGGGGTCGATCTCTGTCCGCCCGCCAACACCGACTGCGACCTGTCAGAGAGGTAGGAGGAGAACCACCGCAATACGGTGCCGCCCACCCCCACCTCTCCGAGACGACGCAGAAGGATACCATGGTCGATGGTATCGAAAGCCGCTGAGGGGTCAAGAAGCACCAGGATAGAGGAATAACCCCTATCCCGGGCTCGCCAGAGGTCATCGTTCCGTGCAACCAAAGCAGTCTCAGTGCTGTAGCCGGGCCTGAAACCAGATTGAAAAGGGTCCAGATAATTGGTTTCCTCCAAGGATCGCAAGAGTTGAGACGCCACCACCTTCTCTACAACCTTCCCCACAAAGGGGAGGTTGGAGACGGGACGAAAGTTCTTCAAAACAGCTGGGTCCAGGGAAGGCTTATTGAGGAGGGGCCTCACCACCGCTTCCTTTAAAGGTTGCGGGAAAGACCCCTCCATCAAGGAGGCGTTGATTATCGCCTGGAGCCAGCCTCGTGTCACCTCCCTACTGGCAGAAACCAGCCAGGAGGGGCACGGGTCCAATAACCAGGTGGCGGCATTCATTGCCCTCACGGCCTTGTCCACTTCATCAGGGGTCACAGGCTCAAACTTGCTCCAGATAACATGACTAAGACCAGCCCCCGGCAACTCGGCTGGCACTGCCCAGTCGGAGTCCAGGTCTCTCTGAATCTGAGCGATTTTGTCCGAGAGAAACTGAACAAACTCCTCAGCTCTCCCCTGCAAGGGTTCCTCCGCCTCCTCCACTTTAAGAAGGGAGCGGGTCACCCTAAACAAGGCGGCCAGGCGAGATTCTGTGGACGCAATAAGTGCGGAAAAGTGAACACGCTTTGCCGCCCTTATCGCCACTAAATAAGTCCTAAGATAGGCTCTTAATAGTGATCGGTCAGATTCAGAGTTACTGGCCCTCCAACGTCGCTCTAGACGTCTCTTGTGGCGCTTCATCTCCCGGAGCTCCTCAGTAAACCAAGGGACCCTCCGGGAACCACCACCACAGAGAGGTTGCAAAGGCGCAATTCGATCCAGGGCCCCGGACGCCGCCTCATTCCAGGCCGCAACCAGGGACCCAGACGAGTTGTGGACAAGGGAGTCAGGTATTTCCCCAAGCTCCTCCTGGAACCGATCTGGGTCTATTAGGCGCCTGGGGTGGAACCACCTAGTCGGCTCCCTCTCCCTGCGATGGGGGAGTGATGATCAGTTTATAATTGTAATGGAAGGTTTATTTTAACATTGAGAGATAGAATAACAACTAAAAAATTCAGAAAAACGTATTTCAAAAAAGTTATAAATTGATTTACCTACTAAGCCCCAACTACACTCTAGCCAACTAAATCCCATCTACACTCTAGCCTACTAAGCCCCCTCTAGCCTACTAAACCTCTAAGCCCCAGCCATATTCTACCCTACTAAGCCTTTAAACCCAACTACATTCTAGCCTACTAAGCCCCAACCATACTCTAACTTACTAAGCCTACTAAGCCCCAGTCACACTCTAACGTACTAAGCCTCTAAACCCCGGCCACCCTCTAATCAACTAAGCCTCATGCGCATTCTAGCCAACTAAATCCCAGCCACATTCTAACCAACTAATCTCCATCCACACTCTAGCCAACTAAACCCCATCCAGACTCTAGCCTACTAAACTTCTAAGTCCCATCCACACTCTAACCTACTAAACCTCTAAACTCCGGGCACAATCTAGCCTACTAAGACTCATCTACACTCTAGCCAACTAAACCCCGGCTACACTATATTCAACTAATTCAGCCTTTTTAAGCCTTGAATAACCACTTAACCTCGTTTTGCAACAGCACGTAACTCATGAACGCTTTTGATGTTCATAGTGGGAGCTCTTTTTATATAGCAGATAAAAGAATTTAATGTGAAGAAATCAACTGTGGGAGCAATAATTAGAAAATGGAAGACATACAAGACCACTGATAATCTCCCTCGATCTGGGGCTCTACGCAAGATCTCACCCCATGGGGTCAACATGATCACAAGAACGGTGAGCAAAAATCCCAGAATCACATGGGGGGACCTAGTGAATGACCTGCAGAGAGCTGGGATCAACGTAACAAAGGCAACCATCAGTAACACATTACGCCGCCAGGGACTCAGATCCTGCAGTGCCAGACGTGTCCCCCTGTTTAAGCCAGTACATGTCCAGGCCCGTCTGAAGTTTGATAAAGAGCATTTGGTTGATCCAGAAGAGGATTGGGAGAATATCCTATGGTCAGATGAAACCAAAGTAAAACTGTTTGGTAGAAACACAACTCGTCATGATTGGAGGAGAGAGAATGCTGAGTTGCATCCAAAGAACACCATACCTACTGTGAAGCATGGGGGTGACAACATCATGCTTTGGGGCTGTTTCTCTGCAAAGGGACCAGGACGACTGATCCGTGTACAGGAAAGAATGAATGGGGCCATGTATCGTGAGATTTTGAGTCCAAACCTCCTTCCATCAGCAAAGGCATTGAAGATGAAACGTGGCTGGGTCTTTCAGCATGACAATGATCCCAAACACACCGCCCGGGCAACGAAGGAGTGGCTTCATAAGATGAACTTTTGATATTGACCAAATACTTATTTTCCACCATAATTTGCAAATAAATTCTTTCCAAATCAGACAATGTGATTGTCTGGATTTGTTTTCTCATTTTGTTTTTCATAGTTGACAATGATTCCAAACACACTGCCCGGGCAACAAAGGAGTGGCTTCGTAAGAAGCATTTCAAGATCCTAGAGTGGTCTAGCCAGTCTCCAGTCTGCTAACAAAAGATATATAACAAAGTATTGAGATGAACTTTTGATATTGACCAATACTTATTTTCCACCATAATTTGCAAATAAATTCTTTCCAAATCAGACAGTGTGAAGCATGGGGGTGGCAACATCATGCTTTGGGGCTGTTTCTCTACAAAGGGACCAGAACGACTGATCCGTGTACAGGAAAGAATGAATGGGCCATGTATCGTGAGATTTTGAGTGCAAACCTCCTTCCATCAGCAAGGGCATTGAAGATGAAACGTGGCTGGGTCATTCAGCATGACAGTGATCCCAAACACACTGCCCGGGCAACGAAGGAGTGGCTTCGTAAGAAGCATTTCAAGGTCCTGGAGTGGCCTAGCCAGTCTCCAGATCTCAATCCCATAGAAAACCTTTGGAGGGAGTTGAAAGTCCGTGTTGCCCAGCGACAGCCCCAAAACATCACTGCTCTAGAGGAGATGTGCATGGAGGAATGGACCAACATACCAGCAACAGTGTGTGCCAACCCTGTGAAGACTTACAGAAAACGTTTGACCTCTGTCATTGCCAACAAAGGATATATAACGAAGTATTGAGATGAACTTTTGATATTGACCACATACTTATTTTCCACCATAATTTGCAAATAAATTCTTTCCAAGTCAGACAATGTGATTGTCTGGATTTGTTTTCTCATTTTGTCTCTCATAGTTGAGGTCTACCTATAATGTCAATTACAGGCCTCTCTCATCTTTTTAAGTGGGAGAACTTGCACAATTGGTGGCTGACTAAATACTTTTTTGCCCCACTGTATATACACGTATGATAGATAAAATGTAGGAGCTAAAACCTGGATGTAGTGTTAAGTGACATAAAAAAAGAGTAAAGTAGTTTCCTATGTAGGACAATAGAAATGAAAAAAAAATGCTATTTATATTAGGACTTTGGTCTCATAGCAAGACACAAATTAAATTATCCTCAGGCCTACAGAAAAACTATTTTCTGAATCGTTTTAAAGTTCAGAATAGAATTTTGTAGCAGTGATATATTTGAAATGGTAAAATATATTTAGCGATTTTTTTCCTATTACTAAATAAAACAGTTGTAAAGAATGATGTTATCTGACTGCACAGTTGCCATCATTAAGCAAATTACATACCATTGTAAAATCCAATGTCCCATGGTCACCATTCAAATGGATGCTGTAATTGTGAAATAATCACCAAGCATCTGGGTCACAATCACGAAATTGTGAGGACACAGCAATGGCTGAAACCTTCGGAAGTCCTATGTACTGCTTTTTCAATAACATCATAAATTTGAATGGTCTTTGAATGAGCATAAGAATCAACAGTAGAAATAAGTACAAATAAGAATCAACAGTACAGTAATAACCAATTGCATTATTTTAGCAAGAACATAAGCACAAACATTTTAGCTCTTGACAATTTAATAAAGTTTGCCACTTGGTTGATAATTGTGTTGTGCATCCACCTTAATTATTTAGAAAAAAATAACTTATGTAATATAAATGTAAACAGAAATGAAGTCTACTTAATTTATATATTAGAATTGCAGGAATAGGTATATAAATAAGAATAATTTATAGAATAATAACACATATGTTTTTATTAATTTCCAGATTTATTTATATATATGATTTAAGAAAACTAATACAATTTGGTATTATAAAAGGGCACACAAATCTAGAACATTAGTTTAAATATGTTTTTTTAAAGTTTGGAATCATAATCCAAGGAAGATACTTTTAATTTTTATGGGCAGCAGCTCATTTGTAATATAGTAAAATTCCCTATCAGCAGAGATTTCAGGCAATGACCAAATACTTAAATTTAGATGTTTTACATTGTTTATTTATATTATAAATGATTATGTAAAATTTATTACACTCCATAAATTGAACTTCACAAAGACTTAACTTTAACTACCATGTCTTTCCTCCTTTGTAAAACCAAAGTTTTATCAAACTCATGACTTTTACTGGGGAAAAGGTGCCTTTTAAAAAATCCTTGTGTTTCATATTCCTTAGAGTTCTCTGAATAGTTGCTCTTTATCTTATTAGTTTCAGATGAATTATTCGTTTCTTAATAAACCTACAGATGAGTAGATAAGAGGGTGTATTTAATTTAGTGGCTTCAAGAATTAATCAAGGATGCTGTCCAAAGTATTTTGGTGGGTAGAAATGGGATGCAACTTGTCACTGCTCGACCTTTTATTTTTCCATTCTAAGTAATTATTTTCTTTATCTTTCACAGTGATACAAACTGGTGGAAAGGTGAAACTCATCAAGGGACAGGATTATTTCCTTCCAATTTTGTAACAGCTGATCTTACTGCTGAACCGGAAATGAGTGAGTAGCAGCACAGTGAGAGAAAAGCCATGGGTCTTTTGGATAGATGGTGCAAGAGCCAGAAAAAGGCTAAATAATTCCCTTCAAAAAGGATTTTAACTACTACAGAAAATATTTTTCTTTATAATAAAAAATTCTTAGTTTTATATTCTATTTATTTTACTCTGTATTCTTCTATCTTAGTCTCTATCCAATTCCAATTCATTTGTCTTATATATTCTAATTAATATTTCCTAATCTATTTTCATTTTAATTTAATCTGGGATACTTTTTTAGCTTTCAATGTCCCCTAAATCCTTCCCCACCTCTGTCTGCAATTACTTACCGTATTTTCCGGCGTATAAGACGACTGGGCGTATAAGACGACCCCCAACTTTTCCAGTTAAAATATAGAGTTTGGGCTATACTCACCGTATAAGACTACCCCTCTTCCAATGCACACCAAATAAAAATTTAAAAACATCAGATTTGATTTCAATATGGTATTTTTAATTCAAATGCTTATGACATGCAGGTACTTAGCAGAAAAACTGTCATTTATAAACATAAGGCTGTCATCAAACATATAAACATAAAACAGTGCAAGTGGATTAAACTTTTCCTACTTCACTCTAAAGCTGAAAGGAAGGATAAGACAATAAAACCATGGGAGCTGCCATGCTGTTTGTTTTCTAAGCTGTCAACCAAACTGAACTGATGATGATAGGAGGAAGATAAAAAACAATAGAAAGAGCAAGTGCCGGGCAAGTCCCTGGCAAGTCAGCAACGCACGCCTCCTTTCTCCCTCCAATCCTTCCTTCCCACCCCGATTTCCAGCTCGGAAAATGCAAAGCGTGTGTGTGCGTGCGCGTGACCTCCTTTCCCTCTTCCCTCTCCCTCCAATCCTCCCAGCTCAGAAAGCAGCGAGGAGAAGCGTGCGCGCACACACACACACACACACACGCCTCCTTTCCCTCTTCCCTCTCCCTCCAATCCTTCCCCCTCACCCTGATTTCCAGCTCAGAAAGTGCAAAGAAGCGAGGAGAAGTGTGTGTGTGTGTGTGTGCGCGCGCGCACACACACACACAAACACACGCACGCACGCAGGCACGCCTCCTTTCTCCCTCCAATCCTTCCTTCCCACCCCGATTTCCAGCTCGGAAAATGCAAAGCGTGTGTGTGTGTGCGCGCGTGGCCTCCTTTCCCTCTCCCCTCTCCCTCCAATCCTCCCAGCTCAGAAAGCAGCGAGGAGAAGCGTGCGCGCGCACACACACACACACACATGCCTCCTTTCCCTCTTCCCTCTCCCTCCAATCCTTCTCCCCCACCCTGATTTCCAGCTCAGAAAGTGCAAAGAAGCGAGGAGAAGTGTGTGTGTGTACACACACAAACACACACACGCACACACGCCTCCTTTCTCCCTCCAATCCTTCCTTCCCACCCCAATTTCCAGCTCGGAAAATGCAAAGCATGTGTGTGTGTGTGTGCGCGCGCGTGGCCTCCTTTCCCTCTTCCCTCTCCCTCCAACCCTTCCAGCTCAGAAAGCAGCAAGAAGCGAGAAGCGTGCGCACACACACACAACACACACACACGCCTCCTTTCCCTCCTCCCTCTCCCTCCAATCCTTCCCTCCCACCCTGATCTCCAGCTCGGAAAGTGCGAAGCAGCAGCGAGGAGACAGATTGAGACCCACAGTCATTTACCAGCCTGTGACTTCAAGTTAGCAAAAAGCAGCTGCAAACCACAGGCCTGCTAGAGGTGAGCCCCTGCTAGAGGTGAGCCGCGGGGACGGATTGCTGAAACAAACAGCTTAGAGTTTAATTGCTCTCCCCACTGCCACTCTACCAATCAAGGACTCTTTTTGAGTGCGGGGGGGGGGGGAGAGAAAACTTGATGAGTAATATACCAAACCACATGTGTAAAGGAATAAAATAGAATACCCGTATTTTCCGGCGTATAAGACGACTCGGCGTATAAGACGACCCCCAACTTTTAAGAAGGTTTTTGTGGCCTAGAAAGTCGTCTTATACGCTGGAAAATACGGTATGTAGCCTAATAGCTGTGTACTGGGTGGGTTGTGGGGGGGGGGGAAGACTGGCATCTTGCCTGCTTTTTCTATGCTTTGTGTACACTGCAGTGCTATCAGATTTAATGTTGCTGACAGTTGGTAGCTGTGATTTCAAGTCAGGATTCTTTTCCTGATTTATTTGCCTAGGCGGAATATACTGTAGCTTCTGGAATTTCATATTTCTAGAGTCTTTCTACTTTGCATTGCTGTGTAGCGTGATTGCTACAGCTAGTTACAACACTGCTGGCATTATGATTTTTGCTGGTGATATTGTAATGCTGGTTACTTGTTGGGGCTTGCTGATCAGCTGTTCCTTTGGGGAAAGGCTGGAAGCTTCCCTTGACTGAGCTCAGTTCTCGGCTTCTTTCTTTCTAATGAACCTTTTTTTGTCATTACTACCACAGTTTCTTTTCAGAGCCCTTTAAAAATAGAGCCAAACTGCCAAATAAAGGAAGGGCAGGCAACTTTAAGGATAAAGGGAGAACAGGGGCACAAATAACTTCTTTGCTGTGCAACTTTCCTCTCACACAATTAAAATGCACAAGCTTAATTGTGACATTTCTAATCTTACCCACCTTTGCGCTGATAAAGCTAGATTATTTGCAGGTAGCCTTCACTGTTATTTCTTGAGTCATTCACTTTGCTATTCAAAAATCGCTTCACATATTCCATAGAGTCTTATCTCCTAGTATATTTATTCCTCTTAGAGAATAGCAGTTAGAGAATAATGAAGCTATGATGTCAATGCTGAAGTAAACTACCGCACATAATGGAACTACAGAATAGTCTGATCTCAATGCTTGGGAAATGTATAGAACTAATCAGAAAAGCATTAGTGTGTAAACGTTATAAACAATGGATAATTACCTGAAGTCAGTATGTGTTTGTCAAAAACAAGTATTAGCAAGGTTTATACATTATTTTTCAATCAAGTAGCTTTCATAGCAGATAATGGAAATGCTGAAGATATATCTTTATTTCAGCAAAGCATTTCACATTGTACCTTATTACATTCTGATTAGGCAACTAATAAAATGAAGCTGAATAGCAGGACAATTATGTGGACATAACTGACTTGAAAATTATATTCAGTTCACCAAATCAAATTGGAGTGGAAATTGAGATGCTGTATACTGATTTCTTTTTGCCCTTCTGATTTCCTCCTCTGTGACAATTTTTTCAGCCCCTGAAAATACTACTCTGCCTAATTGGCAGCCCACTGCCAGCAGGATCTAAGAGTCACAATAATATTTTGGCTGGTGGTGGGAAGACACTGGGTGGTTGGAGTGCTATATAGGAATCTGAATCTATATTAACACCTGATGTAAAGTTATTTTCCAATGAAAACATTTGTCACTTTGTTCAGTATTCTTTCATTTTTTGTTTTCGCAGTGAAGTCTGAAAAAAAAACGGTACAGTTTAGCGATGAAATTCAAGTTGAAACAATTGAACCAGAACCTGAACCAATGTATATTGATGAAGTATGTACAAAATCCAGCTACATGAAGTATTGTCTTTTGATTTCAGAATTGGCTGAGTGTTCTCAATAGATCGAAGTACTAAAAAAAAAAAAACCTCAGACAATTTTTTTTCTGTTTTAAGGATATTAAGTTGTCCCTATAGCTTTTATTCCCCCCTATTGTTTCCCCTTAGTAATATCTTCATTGCTGTTTAATTGAAACATTAATAAACATACTTGCTAGGAAGTAAATATAACAGAAACTGATATTTCAAGTTGTGCATGCTTCAAAAATTATTTTGAAGAAATGGTTCAGAATTTGCACCAGCGCAGCACAGCACTTCTTAACTTCTCGCTCATTCACCTCTTTTTAGGCTTTGTCAGCTCAGTATGATGCTTAGAACAACTCATCTAGAGGCTGAAAAGAGACGTGCCTGAATAAATAGGACAGATTCTTCCCTGAATCTTTTCTTGTTTGAGTGCAAAGATTTAATATTTATTTCCAAATTATCTCATTCCATTGGCTTATATTCAAATTATTACTTTTATGCCTACTGCTATATATATATAGCAAACAAATCAAATATTTATCAAAAGACAATTGTTTTTATATTTATGTTTTTACTGCATTATAAACTACTTAGAGTTGCTTCAGATAATGAAATGGGTAGCATAGAAATAAATAAATAAATGTGTTTTCATAAATATTACATAAAATTGATTTAAATATTCTCCAGCGTGATGAGTAGAGAATCCACCAATGGGTTAACTTCGTCTTCTGCCCGCAGACTAGTTGTCCAATTTTGCTCCGCCTCTCCTCTTGGGACCTCCCTGACCCAGTCTCGACTAGTCTTGAGCCCATTTAGACTGAATTCTTGACTCCTGAAGTGATTCTTCTTTAAGGTCGTATATTTCTGATATTTTGGTCAATCCGTGTGAGGGGGAAGGAACTGCAAGAACGAACGGCTGTTCGTTTGAGTCTTTTCTGCTGCCTGATTGCAGCTCAACCACAAGGCTGGCCTGAGCCCAGCCAATCACTGGACAAACAAGGAACCGGACGCCATTTTCCGGTCACCAAGTATGACCCTGAACAAAGGGAGAGACAATCTCCTTCCCCCCTAAACCAATCATCCCACAAAGCTAGCCAGAATAGCCAAAGCAAATTTGGAATACATTAGCACAGCTGATCAGCGGGCAATTTAAACCTCCCGCAGATCATATGGAAGCCGGCGAGCTGCATGGGAACAATAGGGGGCTGGTGAGCTGCAGAAGAATATCACAGCTCTCCAAGGCTCTTACCCTAAATTCAACTAAAGACCTCGAAGGTTCCTGTTGTTTTGCATTGCCTGAAGTGGGGATTAGCTGGTCGGTGGAGGACTTTTAAACTCCGCAGATCTCTCACAGTTTCCCTGCATCTCCGCGGCTCCCTTGCAACTCACGCTGACCGTATTCCACTGAATACAAGCGCAGTTGTTTTTTTCTTTAGGCAGTCTCCAGGAAATTCAGCTGAGGGAAACACGAGAGAGACTTGGGTTCAACCAATAACAACCTGAACTCACCCAAGCTCAGTCCTTCCTCCTAGCCACATAGGAATAATAATAATAATTTTAAAAAAATAAAATAAAAAATAAAAATTGATATTAATAATAATAGTAATAATTGAAGAGCACAACATAGATCAGCTCACAATTACCCTGAACCAGACCGGAATTGAATTTTATTCCAGTAAGAATGGCAGATATCAGCACAGTTCAAACAGTGAAGGAACCTGCCACCACCAGCCCACCTGCTCGTAAAAGACAGAGATCACCCAAGCAGGAAGTGGCTAGGATGATCAAGGCAAAGCAACATCGGCCAAAAGGCCTTCCAAAGCAGCGGATAGGGAGGCTAAGCAATATCACCAGGCTCTAGAGAGACAATTCTCCCGAGCCGAAAGGAGACAAAACTCCACTGAAGATGAATTAGAGCAGAGGTTCTCAACCTTTTTAATGCCACGACCCCCAACCGGTCGTAAGTTGAGGACTGCTCAACTGGTCGTAAGTCAAGGACTACTCAACTAGTGCAGCACCATTTGCAGAGATGGCCTGGACAATTCCTATTGGCTTTTGGAAGCTAATAGAATTAGACTCTATTCAAGAGAGTCTATTCTATTGGCTTTCAAAAGCCAATAAAATAAAAGGGAGTAGCACAGCTAAAGAAAAGGGGAAAAAATGGCAGACTACGTTGTTTGGCGACCCCCGTGAAATGGTCGTTCGACCCCAAATGGGATCCCGACCCACAGGTTGAGAACCACTGAATTAGAGCCACCCAATTACAGGGAGGAGGAAATTTTTGGCACAAGGAAGCTCAGCCAGGAACATCTGGAAAAAGAGGCCGATACAGTACAGGGGAAGGGCTCTCCCCTAAGTGAGGGGCCTGGAGATCTGGGTTCAGAAGCAGGCACCTGTCGCTCAGATAATCATGGAGCAATGTCTTCAGAGCACCTTCAATCCCTGATATCTCAGGCTGTCGCACACGCCATGGCCTCCTCAAGACACCATTGTTCCAGAACAAAGTCTGTGGCCTCTAGGGGTGGCTCCCGCTTTTCTCAAAAGGAGACCTCTGAGTACTAAGACTCTGTTTCCTTCTCCAAGTCCTCCAGAGGCAGGAGGTCTCCTGCGGAGGACCATGAGCTGATGGATCAGAGACTGTCCGTCGAAGAGGATGTATCTCCCCCATTTGTAGGCCTGTTTAATCTGTCCTTATTCAAGACGCTGCTACATAAAGTCAGTGGTACTGCAAATATAGAGAGGCCCCCAATTCCGCAGAAAGAAACCTCTACCAATCCCTCAACTAGTAAGGTCACAAACAACGAAGAGTTTTCACAGCCCACCTATACCCAACACTTTGTCCCTTGTCTACCTCTCTTCTTTGATTCTGTTCAGAACATCATGGGGGCACCAGGTTCCTTCCTCCCAATGGGGGGGGGGCAGACAAGAAAATGTTCAACATAGATCCAGCACTATCAGAGATAATATAAGTGCCAACAATAGATGAACCCATTGCAACCCTCTTTTCTCCACCCCCGATAGCCGGGGATGCAGCGGAGGCCCTGAAATCAGAAGACAAGAAGATGGACCTCATCTTCCGCAGGGCACACCAGGCCTCAGCGTGGGCAATCAAGGCAGCCATCACTATGTCCTTTTTCACCAGGACATCTCTTCTTTGGCTGCGCCAATTCCAGTTGAGTATTCCCTCAGTGGAGGGGAAAACTCACCAGAATTTAAGAAGGTTAGTGGCGGCAGCGTAGCTCATGTCAGATTCCTCCTTACATGCAACCAATTTTTCTGCCAGAGCAATAGCGTACAACACTGATGCACGCAGATTACTGTGGCTCAAGCGTTGGAAAGCGGACATGAAGGCTAAGTGGCATTTAGCGGCAGCACCCTATAAGGGTGGCCGGCTCTTTGGCGAGGCGCTTGACCCTTACCTAATTGAAAATAAGGACAAACGCAAGATCCTGGCTCACCTGACAAAGAGGATGGAGAAGAGAGCTCCCTCCTATTCCTGCAGACCGGCCTTCCGACCTGATGCAGGCATGGATCAGGGACCTTTTCCCGTTCCTATCAGCCCAGATCGGACCATCAAGGTGAGAGAAACAATAACAGAGGCAGGTTCAGAAACAGGCCCAAGCAAGATGGCCCTTTCGAGGAGCTGGGGGGCATCCCTACCACAGATCCAAGGGATGGCCCAGGGCCCCCCCATTGGTGGCCGGCTAGCCCTTTTTGCCCACAAATGGCAAGCCACCACCACAGACCTCTGGGTCCTAAATACCATCAGATTCGGCCTATCCCTAGAATTCCTCTCAACACCCCTGAACCGGTTCATTCCTTGCCAATCTCCAAAATATCTGATCAAGAAGAACCTCACCAAGGAGGCCATCCAACACCTGGACATTCAGGCTATAGAACCGGTAGAAAGAGATCAGTGGGGACAAGGATTCTATTTCATCCTATTCATAGTCCCAAAGAATTCGGGTGGGGGTGGAGAGCAATACTAGACCTAAAGAGTCTGAACAGACACCTGGAGTACAAAAAATTCAAAATGCAAACCCTTCGCTCGATATTAGCAAGCATCAGGAAGGGGGACCTTCTGACGTTCATAGGTCTGACGAAGGCCTACCTTCACATTCCCATACTTCTGGATCACCGGAGGTTCCTCAGGTTCTACCACACAGGTCAAAACTTCCAATACAGGACCCTACCTTTTGGACTTTCTTCAGCTCCCAGGGTGTTCACAAAGGTATTGGCAACAATCGCTGTACACTTGAGAACAATTCTGGTGTGCATCAATGCTATCTGGACGACATTCTCATTCAGTCCTCACTGGCCCAGACAGCACAGTCAGACCTGGCACTGACTCTGAAAACCCTTCAAGATCACGGGTTCTCAGTAAACTTTCAGAAGAGTCAGACCATTCCCTCAAACCGTCTTCTTCATCTGGGAGCGATCATAGATACACAAAAGTGCACGGTCCATCTCTGTCAGGACCATCAACGCAGCATTCGAACCCTGGTCAGGCTCATCCGAAGGAAAGGGTCCTCAACACTGGTTACACTCTCATAGCTGCTAAGAAAGATGGTGTCATGCCTCGCAATCGTACCTTGAGCAAGGCTACACTCCAGAGAGCTCCAGTGGTTCCTACTTCCGTTCCAAAGAGTGGGGATAGGCTCTTCAAACCAAAGAGTGAAGGTGCCACCAAAGGTCCCGAGGTCGCTCCAGTGGTGGTGGTCCCAAGCGATGGGGAAGGGACACTTGTTCAGGGAAGCCAACCGAGTCACCCTTACAACAGATGACAGCCTATTCGACTGGGGAGTGCACCTGCAATCACAGCTAGCACAGGGTCAATGGTCAAAGAAAGACCTAAAGCACAACATAAACTGGCTAGAACTCAGAGCATACACCTGGCTCTCGTCACTTCCACAGCGCAGTAGCTCATCGACATGTGCTCATACTCATAGACAACATGGTGGCCAAAGCGCAT